CATACTATCACGAGCTAAAGGCATTAGTACATATGGTGTTTCAACTGGGATTTAAAAAAAATCTTTTAAAGAACTTGCAAAGACATGTAATCTTCTACTCCAGTGGCTCATTCCTTACATTTGCTGAGTCCTTCTCAGTCCCAGGGGCTCTGGGATATGAGGTCAATTCCAGGCGAGCTTTAGCCGTTTGGGTTCATTCAACATGTAGGATGGAACCTACCGATGGGTAGCTTCAGGGGTATTGTGATCATTGGTGCTCGTTTTATTATACCTCATAACTTATATTATAAATATATTCTCTAGTATATATCAAATGTTTTGTGATACTTTTTTTTTCAATAAAAGAATAGCTCTAAACCCTAGGAATGATGTTAGAAGTTTAATTCTTTTAAATGGGGAACATTTGAGGATCCACCTGATCTTCCAAAATTTCGACAGATTATGTTTCTCTCTAGGCTGTCCTAGTTAGTATCAGAACTTAAGTAGCTTTAGGGTGGGAAAGCTGCTTCAGCCATGTTGATCTATATATTCTCTTTGTCATCTTTCCTTAAAAGTAGAAGATAAATAATAAAGTATATCCTGACCAACAAGGAAAAACTAACCTTCTTAAGCAAACACATGTTGGGAGAATCAATCTGCATGGGCCATGAGCATTCCTGTACTTTTTACTGGGTAGGCCAAGGATACAGGCTCTGACTGCTGTTTACATGGGCCATTTCTCCAGGTTGTGTTTGCAGTAAGGAATCTGAGAGATGAAGTAACATGTCTTACCTAAGAGCAGCCTTGCTGACCACTCATGGTAAAAGTAGTAGATTCTACAGTTTTCTGTTTCTCAGTTATATCCCAAACCCACTGTATCCACCTCAGCATCCAATTAAGTCTACCTCCATGAGACGTGGGATACATATAAAGCATCTCATGCTTATAATAAACATACTCATGCTGCTTGCTGCATTGTAACAAGTCTTCTGCCAGTATCTGTGAAGCAGCAGCAGACTAAATTGTTGACTTGCGAGTTGGGTAAAATCCCAGACCCTTCACAGAGCCTGTCAGCTTGAGTGACAAGGAAGAGATACTGATAGAGACATGGCGTTCTGAAAGAGAAAGGACATGGGCCCTCATTGGTTGGGTTATCAGATATGAAAAGACTCTCTGAGATCTGGTAGAAAATAGTCTAACCCAGGTGGTGGTAAGAGGGGGAATGTAGAGCAAGGTCTCTCACTGTCCAGTGTGTTAAATGGGCTGAACAACAAAAGGTAGAATCCAAATAAGCTGCCCAGGTAGTGCTGTGATTATGGCATGTTGTCCTATGGAGTGGGAGAGGGAAAGGATGTTATTGAGAAGATGCAGCAGCAAGTCCTAAAGCGTAGCCAGAAGGCAGGCAATGTGGCTGTGGCTGAAGGAAGGCCCCTTGAAATGGAGAGTAACTGCAAAGCCTTGCTTACTGGCACTCAGCTACTCTCTCCCTCTACCTCTCCCTTTAAGTTCAGCTGCTTTAAAGAGGAAGGTTGGGTGTGCTGAGGAGCTTCAGAGAGGAGTGAGGAGGAACTCCAATGTTTATGGCTCTGTTGGATACAGGTGCCCAAGTACACTTGGTCCCATGTGGGGCGGGTGAACTCGGCACCAGGATGGCCCAAAGAGCTGAGGGTGCAGGACAGAGCAATGACACCAGCAGAGGCTAAAAGAATGATGCCCCTAAACACCAGTGCCTTCCAGAAGCCAGGGGTGTGCAGGAGAGGAAGCAGCACCAATTCAGAATGAGGAGCCAAAGTGCAAAAAGCTGTCCTTGCCACTCCCCAGTGTCCCCCAGCTATGAGACAGTATAGTCTCTTTAACTATGAAGGTAACCCTTGCTATGACAACTATTTAACCCCTGTGTTAAATTCTTTGGTCTGTGTTCCCATAGAGGGGAAAAAAAGCACTGGAATTCAGCTGACAAGAGTTTGAGCAACATTTGCAGTAAGGAAGGGAAATGAAAGTGATCCTTGAGCTGACTCAGGATACTGCAGTTATGTCCCCTGCATATAAATGTATAATGAAATTTAATGTGTTACTTATTTTGTAAATATTCATAGTGATAAGGAGACACTCTTTCATTCAGGGATTCCCTGACCCCTTCCAGGTGATCTATTAAAAACAATATAGAATCCCAAGGAGAAAAAGAGAAAATCACAGCCAATCTCCAGAGAGGCCATTGCCTATACAGCATCACCACCTGCAAACACAGGCACCAGATACCTCCTGTATTAGTTTCCTGGGACTGCTATAACAAAGTACACCACAAATTAGGTGGTTTAACAACAGAAATTTATTGTCTCCATTCCAGAGGCTGGAAGACCAAAATTAAGGTGTCAGTAGGGTTGGTTCCTTTCCAGAGCTATGTGTTAGGATCTGTTCCACATCTCTCTCCTTGGCTCATAAATAGCTGACCTCATAGTAACATGGCATTCTCTCTGTAGACATGCCTCTGTGTCCAAATTTCCCCATTTTATGAGGACAGCAGTTATATATTGGATTAGGGCCCATGACTTCCTTTTAACTTGATTGATTCTGTAAAGACTTTTTCTCCAAATACATCACATTCTGAGATAGTAGAGGTTAGAACTTTAACATATGAATTGTGGGGAGGACACACAGTTCAACCCGTAAAATACTCCTTTCAAAAAGGGGAGGCAGCTATTGATTACTACTAAGCTCTTGATAAAAATGAGTATCTGACCCATGGAGGCTTGTGACTCTCAGGCTTCCTCCCCATTTTTGGGAGGGTCAACTAGGACATGACACTTACAAGGAAAGGGCCTATTTGCTGGTTAAATAAAAATGTATTTGAGGCTATGACTGGCCTGGCCCTACTGTCATCTCAGTTTTGCATAAAGTAGTAGCTACCCCTTTGGGACAATCGTCCATCTTCTACTCTGCCACATGAAGTAGAGCTACTGGTTTAATAGGGCCCTTGGATTCACAGAGATTTTCCTAAATGCATGGGCCTGGTTTACCTCTGGTTCAGCTAAGCTGAAAACTGATGGTGCTGATAGTGGTCCTGCTGGTTTGAACTCAGCACTAGCTATGGTGATCACTGGGATCAGTGGGCAGAAGTCAAGGCTGTTCTCAAAGCTCTGGTCAGCTGCGCTGAGGGGCAGGTTGTTGGGAGGGGCAACTGTCCATGGGCCCTGAATGTCCCCACACATTCTTGCTGAGTAGGCCAAGAATACAAGGCCCAGACTGCCCTTTATTCAGGCCATTTCTCTGGGTTGTGTTTACAGCGAACAACCTTGAGGAATAAGGTCAAGTCCTCCCCCAACTCTTCTGGCTCGCTGATGACTATAAAAGCAGTAGATTCCCCAAGCCCAGTGTTCCTCAACTGTGCCATAAACCCACTGAGTGCACAGCACCCATTTAAGTCCATCTTTGTCACCTCTGTGAGACTTGAGGGACATGGGGATACTCATGCCAACCTCATGATCATGTTGCTTACTGTGCTACGAGTAATGAAGTCCTTTGTCTCTGACGACATGTCTCCCGTATCCTACCAGCATCCATGAAATAGTAACAGGCTAATTCGCTAGCTTGCAAGTGGGATAAAATCCCAGACCTTCAATATATCCTGACTTCACTGACGTAAAATGTATCTTCCAGAGGTCTTGGACAAGGACTCTCTGGGTATATGACATTCTTGGCTGGTGTGTATGCCTAATGTTTGGTCTACCCTAGGTCACTCTACTCTGTTACAACAGTTCAGTTTCCATTCTTTAAATTGTTCCATTCTCCTAAAAGAAATCGTTAGCCTGCACAAAACACTCTCAATAGCAGTAATAACAGTAGCAACAACTAATACTTTCAAAGTGAAAGACACTGTTCTAAAAGACTTGAGGCATTGTTCTGTGTACTCTCTATACACTACCATTATTACTCCTCAAAACAACCCTCTGAAGGGGATACCGTCACTCCAGTTGACAGACTAGGAGACTGAGGCACACATCATACTGTTAGTCAGGGGTAGAGATGGGATTCAAACCTAGTTGGTCTGGCTTTAGTCCTTGCTTTTAACCACTCGCCATATTGCCTCACCGTAGGAACTTCAACTCCCAGGGCCACAATGAACCCCAAAGGCCAAGAGATCTTCATTTGAAATCTTAGGAAAATAATTTGTCAAACTTTTAACACTTGATTATGACATCCAACAATTTAAAATCCTTTTTGACAACCTATCTTAGGCAATCAGACAGTGTTCTACTTTGCTTTGATCTTTTCTATCCAGCCTATGTATAAATCTAGTGTCAAGTTTTCACACTGTATATTAATTTCCTATTGTTGCTATAACAAATTATCAACTTTAGTAGCTTAAAACAACATAAATTTATTATCTTATATTTCTGGAGTCAGAAATCCAAAGTGGGCTGGTGGACTGTGTTCCCTCTGAGCTCTAGGAGAGAATCCATATCCTTTCCTTTTCCAGCTTCCAGAGGCTACCTGATTTCCTTCGCCCTTCATTCTGCCTTCACACCAGCAGTGTGGCATCTTCAAGTCTCTCTTTTAGCTCTGACTTTGACCCTCTTGCCTCCCTCTGTCCCTTGTAAGGAGACTTTTGTGATTTCATTGAGCCCATACAGATAATCCAGGATAACCCAGGACCTTCCCTATCACAAACTCCTTCTTAACTTAATCACATTGCAAGGTCCCTTTTACTATGTAAGGCAACATATTCACAGGGGATTCGGATGCAGATACTTGGTGAGGGGAGGGGCATCATTCTACCTACCCTACTCTCTAAGCAGTTATGTCTTACTTCAGTATGGAAATTTTTACACAAGTATCTGGATTGGAGATCTAAACACACCCATTTACCTGATAATTAATAATGCATTTCATCTTGATTCTGAGGATGGAGCCCCAAGAACATTTTACCTTTTGGGGTCAAAGAGAACAGTACTGCTGGAGTACATGTTGTAGAAACTTTAACCACTGTAACAACATAAAAGCTTAATTATTTGAAAATGTACCTGGAGTCGAGCATTCATAAGCATAAACTCCTGTTGGTTTTTCATGTTTTCACTCATAGATTTTGAGAATATAAACCCCATCTTGACCTAAAATGTGAAAAAGCAAAGAGGCTTAAAACAATGTATTCTACATATCTGCTTTGGCTACCATAGGCTTATAACAATGTGTAAAAAAAAAAGACAAATTTCCTGGGAACACGGTGTAGATTATAGTCCTTACTTCTAACTAGCTGACTGATCTTGGGCAAACTTAACCAGCCTACCCAACATTTACTCACCTAAGACCAGGGACTTAGATGACTTCCAAAATCTTCTCCCGCTCTCCATGTTGCCTGATTTTTCTTCCCACTGTAAATCTTGAAGAACTGAATGCTTACAAACAAACAGACCACTCTCTTTTCTGTGAGGGACGGGGCAGGTACCATCCATCCTCTTACCTCCTGTATAGTTGGATGACAGAAACTTTGCTTCTGAGAAGGGGTGATTCAGAAGATGCATTGTACACCTTGAGGACAGATTTCTGTCTGCTCCTTGCATCGTGTTTTAGGAAGTTTTAGGTGTCTCAAGGTCGCTCTGTCACTACTCTTCCTGTAATCCCTGCCGCTTCCCTACAGCACCACTTATTATGTCACCCACTGCTGATATGCCTTGGTCATCGTTTTCTGGCTTCACCTTTGTTCTCTTCAGGCTGCTACTCAAGTTCTCAAGAGGGGAAGAACCAAATAATACTTAAATGTCCTGGGAAGAGCAATTTTTAAATGAATACATGGCATTGCCTATCTTAGTTATCTTACTTAAGAAGTTCTTAAGTGGGCCATCACTTCTAGGGGGCCCAAATTTCAATTTTCTGTTCTTAATCCAATTGGGTAGATACAGAAGGCCTTCAGTTAGTTCTTAATTTTACTTTGAGAAACTGCAAAACTCAGGTAAGTTACAGCTGCTCTATTTTCAATAATACTGATGATTTTCTTTGGTAGGCTACTGAGAAGGGTTGTGAACCTTGGGTCAGAGTGGTCAGTCTCAATGCTTTCTACCCAGATTCACACTCTTCTGTGAGAAACCCAGCAGAGCTACTATTTTCCATATCCTTATCAGGAAGGAGTAAGTTCTGACTAACTGGGGAGAAGATGCGGGGGGAGGGAGGACATTCCATGCCAGGTAGGTAGAATGGGTTATCCTTGCTAATTTGGCTCCAGGCAAGTGGGAACTGCAAGCCAGCCTTTAGCAGCTTCCCTATATTCTGGCCAAAGATGCATCCTTGAATTATAGGGACCTCTGAGCCAGAGTCAGCCTCAATGCTGGACATAGGAAGATGAACTGTAGAGAAGAGGCAGGTCATGAGGTTTCCCTCCCCCTCTGCCACTGCCCCACTCTATCCTCTGTCCAGAGAGTTAGAGGCCACCCCGTGAGGATATGGAGACCTACAGAAATTCTCTCCTTTCTGGAGACTTTGACACCCCCAAGTCAGCTGTCTCCCAACAGCATACCAGAACTTGCTTGAAGGAAGGAGCAATGTTTTCCATCTTGGTATTCCCCTAATGTCTTTTGCCCATAAATGTTTGCATGACTGGTACAAGAGAAATCTAGCTCAGGTCACTTGCCATTCCTTATTTTTTGTCTGTACATAGGAGTAGATGACTGAATTTTTCCATATGCTGCAAACATTTATAAAGAAAACTGTCTTCGAATCCCATTCCTATACACACAAACGCATACACCATATATCACAGAATTGTGTCTCGTACAGTGCCCCTGTTTATAAGGGGGTGGGACCTCTCCTGAAGTGAAGAGATAGTCCTCATGTCAGCCATCTAGGAAAGAGAATATCTGGAAGGTTAGGGTGTAGGCTTACCTGTTTTGGACCTCGGTTTCTTGGGTCTGGATGGTAGTTTGGATGTGTTAGAGAACGCTCCCAAGGGCTAAAGGTAGAATCCAAGCAGGATGAAGAACTTCCCTGTGTTCAGCGGAAACCACACCTGAAAATGAGTGTACAACACTTTGTGAACTATGCCTTGGAGTTCAGTATTGTCAACTTCCCTCTCCTTCCCCACCCGAACAAAGCCGTTTTCCAAAGTCTAGGAGGTTCCTTAAGATGCCCAGAATACTCTGCTTTCTCTCTCCGAAATCAAGCAAGAATGATCTTGCAATAGGGATAATTTTGAATTTACTCGAATAAGTAAGTCTTTCAAAAATTCCAACATTTTATCACTGGTGACACATGTCTCCCTACTGAGAATGCTGATTTGGTCCCTTATGCCTTCATTTTTCCTTTGATTACTCCTGAGACCTTAGAAAGGGCTCTTTAATGCTCCAGCCCCTTTCAGCTGTGCTGTAGTTTACAATGGGAAGGGGTATTTCTGGGAGTGCAGCGGCTGAGGCAGCCTTCCTCCAGTCACCCCAGGGAACTAGGATTTGATTTTACTTATTGAAAAAAAGAGCGTGGGAGATAAGTTCATGATCCATAACCTCTTGTCATCCAAATGTCGGTGCTGATTCATTTCCTGATCAAATGACACGTTACCTACATTTATGACTGGTGGCATAATTACAATCGGTTTCTGGTCTTTTTTATGTTCCATTCAAACTGGGTCACTTCCCCTGCGTATTTCAGCCCAGAACCAACCCATGGCTTACGGGAAGTTTTCCCTAGTGTAGCCCCAACTGTTGTAACTCGGGTATTTTCTGCAGTCCTGAGCTTATTTCCGTTAATAATGCCCTGCCTACTTTCCCCAACTCGGTTACATCGATACGGGAGGGGCCAGGAGTCCTTGCGAGGAGAACGGGCTCTTCAGAAGCGAGGTTAGAGATGCTGGTCAGCCCTGCGGACCGGAGGGGAGCCAACTGGGGGTGCTCCCGAGGAGCGGGCGCAGCGCGGCCCGGCAAGCGTGGGGCCTTGGAGCCCTCGCGGGCAGCGCGGCCCGGGCCCCCCACCCCTCCAGCTTTCGGCCCGCGGGCCGTCCGGCCGACATCACTCACTGGGCAGGGGGCGGCGATGGTGTAGAGAGACCGTCCTCACTGCAAAGGCCTGCAGTCCCCTTGACCGCGACTGGACCGGGACTCGCCCTGCAGAGCCTCGGGATTGGATGGCCTTGACAATGACTCCGAAGCTCGGCCAATCAGCGCAGCGCTGGCTTCCTTAAAGGGGCCGCTCGCCTGACTGAGGCCTGGTGTGTGCTTTCCTGCCAGGCGCCGGCACTGCAGAGGCAAATTCAAACCAACAGCAGCCAGGCTGTCAGATTTTGAGGGGACGAAGAGGAAGCAGAATGAAAATCTCACGTAAAGCCCTCAGTGAGGTGTCTGAGTTACCCACGTGTGTGGGGAAATTCGTGCTCCTACACCGAGCCAAGCCTCTACAGAGTTTAATGAGCCATCTCACTGTTACTCTCCAGAAATGGTGTCAGCCACCACTGTTGGATCTGTTTTCCAGAAGAGAATGTGTCTCGTCAGAGGTTGTCACTTAAACATATAATCCACAGTTGCAAACATTTTTTAAAAATTGAAGTATAGTTGACACACAACGTCACATTAGTGTCAAGTGTACAACATAGTGCTTTGACAAGTGTATACATTATGCTGTGCTCACCACACAGCATATGTGGTGGCTGCCGTCTGTCACCATAGCCCTGACTACAGTACCAGTGACCATGTCCCCTCGCTGTACCTTTCATCCCCGTGACTTACTCATTCCATCACTGGAAGCCTGTACCTCCCACTCCCCTTCACCCATTTTGCCCATCTCCTTACCCCCTTCCCATCTGGCAACCATCGGTTTCTTTGTATTTATGGGTCGGTTTTTGCTTTTGTTTGTTTATTCGTTCGTTTTGTTTTTTGGATTCCACATATAAGTGAAATCATATATTTGTCTTTCTCTGTCTGACTTATTTCACTTAGCATAATACCCTCTATGTCCACCCATGGTTACAAGTGGCAAGATTTCGGGGCGCCTGGGTGGCTCAGATGGTTAAGCATCTGACTTTGGCTCAGATCATGATCCTGGGGTCCTGGGATCGAGCTCCACATCGGGCTCCTGGCTCAGTGGGGAGCCTGCTTCTCCCTCTCCCTTTCCCCCTCTCCCCAGCTCATGCTCTCTCTCTCTCTGTATCTCTGTCAAATGAATACATAAAAAAAAAAAATCTTAAAAAAAAACTATGGCAAGATTTCATGATTTTTTATGGATGAGTAATATTCCGTGTGTGTGTGTGTGTGTGTGTGTGTATGTGTATACACATACATATATATCACCTCTTTATCCATTCATCTATTGATGAATTTATATGTTGGCTAGTGTAAATAATGCTGCAATAAACATAGGGATACATATATCTTTTTGAATAAGTGTTTTCATTTTCTTTGGGTAAATACCCAGTAGTGTAATTACTGGATCATATGGTAATTCTAATTTTAACTTTTTGAGGAAACTTCATACTGTTTCACACAGTGGCTGTACCAATTTGCATTCCCACCAACAGTGCACAAGAGTTCCCTTTTCTCCACATTCTTGCAAATACTTGTTATTTCTTGTCTTTTTGATTCTAGCCATTCTTACAGGCGTAAGGTGATATCTCATTGTGGTTTTGATTTGCATTCCCTTGATGATTAGTGATGTTGAGTGTCTTTTCACGTGTCTGGCCATCTGTATGTCTGCTTTGGAAAAATGTCTATTCAGGTCATTTGCCCATTTTTTAATTGGATTGTTTATTTTTTTGGAGTTAAGTTTTATAAGTTCTTTATATATTTTGGATATTAAGCCCTTATTAAATATATCATTTGCAAATATCTTCTCCCATTTTGTAGGTTGCCTTTTTATTTTGTTGATGGTTTCCTTTGCTGTGCAAAAGTTTTTTATTTTGGTGTAGTCCCAATAGTTTATGTTCGCTTTTGTTTCCCTTGCCTGAGGAGACATATGTAGGAAAATGTTGTTAAGGCTGTCAAAGAAATCACTGCCTGTGTTTTGTTCTAGGAGTTTTATTGTTTCACGTCACATTTAGGTCTATAATCCATTTTGAGTTTATTTTTGTGTGTGGTGTAAGAAAGTGGCTCAGTTTCATTCTTTTGCATGTTGCTATCCAGTTTCCCAGCACCACTTATTGAAGAGACTTTCATTTCCCCATTGTATGTTCTTGCCTCCTTTGTTGTAGATTAATTGCCCTTACAAATGTGGGTTTATTTGTGGGCTCTCTATCCTGTTCCACTGATCTGTGCATCTATTCTTATGCAGTTCCATACTGTTACTACTTATACTACAGTTTTGAAGTGTATCTTGAAAACTGGGATTGTAATACCTCCAGCTTTGTTCTTCTTTCTCAAGATTGCTTTGGCTTTTCAAGTTCTTTTCTTTTGTGGTTCCATATAAATCTTAGTATTAATTTGTTCTAATTCTGTATAAAACACTGTGGGTATTTTGATAGGGATTATATTGAATTTGTAGAATGCTTTGGGTAGTATGGACATTTTAACAATATTAATTCTTCTAATCCATGAGCATGGAATATATTTCCATTTGTTTGTGTTTATAGTTTCTTTCATCAGTGATTTATAGTTTTCAGGGTGCAGGTCTTTCACCTCCTTGGTTAAGTTTATTACTAGCTGTTTTATTCTTTTTGGTCCAATTATAAATGGAATTGTTTCCTTAATTTCTCTTTTTGCTACTTATTAATGTATAAAAATGCAACTGATTTCTGTATGTTAACTTTGTATCCTGCAACTTTACTGAATCTATTAGTTCTAATAGTTTTTTGTGGAGTCTTTAGGGTTTTCTATGTATGGTATCGTGTCATCTGCAAATAGTGACAGTTTATCTTCTTCCTTACTAATTTGGAAGCTTTTTATATCTTTTTCTTGTCTGATTGTTGTGGCTAGGACTTCCAGTATTGTGTGAATAAAAGTGGCAAGAGTGTGCATCCTAGTCTTATTCCTGATCTTAGAGGAAAAGTTCTCAGTTTTTCACTACTGAGTATAATGTTAGCTGTGGGTTTTTAATATATGGCCTTTATTATGTTAAGGTACGTTCCCTTTAAACCCACATTGTTGAGTTTTCAGAGTTATGAACATTTTAATGGCTTTTCTATTTGCAAAATAGGTTTAATGTTGAAGGTGGACTTTTTTTTTCTGGTTGAATCTAAACACAGTTTAAAGATTTATTTATTTATTTGGGAGAGAGAGAGAGAGAACACGTGGATGGGGAGGGGCAGAGGGAGAGGGAAAGAGGGTCTTTTTTTATGATTATCTTTTATTAACTTTCATTTTGAAATAATTTTAGACTTACAGAAAATATTTTACATAGTATAATTATTGAAACAATTGAATCAACACTGACTCAATATAATCAACTAATCTATTGGAATTACCCACTAGCATTCTTTTCCTGGTTCCAGGTTTCAATCTGGGATCCCAGATTTCATTTATTTGCCATATTTTCTTAGTCTTTTCCAATTTGTAACGGTTCCTCAGTCTTTCTTTGTTTTTCATTACCTGGACACTGTTGAGTATTAGCCAGTTATTTTGTGGAATGTCCCTCGGTTTTGGTTAGTCTGTTATTTCTTCATGATTAAAGTTATGTATTTTTTTACTAAACTACCCTAAAAGTAATCAATGCCCTTCTCAATGCTTCATATCAGGAGGTACACAATGAAGATATGTCTTATTACAGGTGATGTTAACATTAATGACTTGATTAAGACAATGTCTTCTCTGCTTTTCCAGTGTAAAATTACTATTTTTCTCTTTGGAATTAATAAAATTCTTATGGAAAATACTAAAAAAAATGCAATTTCCTGTTTCTTATACTTTAATCCACTAATTTACTGTCCATTATTGATTCTTTTTATTTTTTATTATTAACATATTGTGTATTGTTTGTTGTTTCAGGGGTACAAGTCTGTGATTCATCTGTCTTACACAGCACACAGTGCTCACCACAACACATACCCTCCCCAGTGTCCATCACCCAGCCACCCCATCTCCCCACCCCCCAACA